AGAGAAACGAGACGGCTAAATACCACAAGAAAATTACATAGCCATATTTCTAGGAGAACGAACGGCCAAATCCTAAAAGAAAGATATTTTCGGACATCTAGCTTGAGTTTTATTACTAAGAAGGGCTCTGCTAGTTTCTCTTACCAACTTATCTTGTGTGGAAGAACCATTGTTGATGCTATGCAAGATAGAAGGTGGGAAATGGGAGTAAAATCCGTATATGGAACGAAAATTGACTTCCTTTTCAAGCTAGAAATAAGTCGTAGTCCCTTATCATTTGCTACGAGAAGATGTAACTATGGATATGCTCATTAACATGACGACTTGTTCATGGCAAACCGAACTTATTTGCCAAATCTTTATTGTCTTTAGAAACAGAGTAGATCATCTAGATCCCCTTAAGATTTCGGTCTTCTCATGTTTGCTAAAAATTGCTTATATTTCCAACATAAAGAAGTTGATGTGTTCGAGCGTTTTACAAATTGTTAGGTCCATTCTTTCTTCCTTTTATAATGCTAATCAATTAGAGGTCAACTCATCTTCTTAGTCTCGCAATCAAGAGACTACACGGTGAGTTCTTGCACTTGGAGATGCGATTGAAATCAATGTGGATGCTTCTCTTAGCAACAATGTCAATGATCTTGGTGTTATTGCCGGAAATTCTACGGGACAAATTATGTTTTCACGTCCACAAAGATCCGAAGGTACAATACCCATAGAAATAGAAGAAGCTTTTGTAGTGGTCTATGGACTATAACTTGCAATTGTTATGTGTTTCTCGAAGTTTGTTTGAAATAAGATTGTGCTAACCTCATTAATCGGATACATGTGGATATAAAACATGGCTCTTCCGTTGCTCTTGATATCAAAGCTCTAGGTAGTCTTTTTTATTCTTTTTTTTTCCCACCCCCCACCGTTTAAACAATAAGGTTGCCCGTTACCAAACAAACTAAAAGACTAAAGGAAAATCAACAACGATTTTCACTGTTCATCTACTTACAAAACACCGTAAAAGTACCGTAGATGAGATGGCATTTTGGTGATTTTTCAGCTTTTTTGGACATTTATATTGAAAGTTTATCTCATATTTCATTTTCGTCCTTAAAGTTTCAAAAAAAAAGTCTTATCCCTAGGTTGTTTTATGTCTTCACCTACTACATTCTGCTGCAGTGGCACCGCTTCGCAGCCCGCGAGCGAGCGAGCTTGCCTCTTTCTTTCTTTCTTTTTTTTTTTTTTTTCTTTTTCTTTTTTTACAACAATTTATGTTTTTTTTTTCATTATTGAATTGTGTGTGAAAATTATGAAAAATAAATCACTATTTTTTTATCTTCTCTTTTTTTTTCACAGTTTATGTTTTTTTTTATTATTATTATTGAATTGAGGTGAAAATTATGAAAAATCAATTATTATTTTTTTCATACAATTCGACGATTATGAAATATATATGATATATTTTGATATTTTAAAATAAATAGATATATCGAATTATATTACTCTTATTATTTAAGATTGATTTTTTCGTTTTGATGTTTCTTATAAAAATTCTCATCAAATTAATTTTTTATTCTTCTTTTTTATCTAATTTTATTTATTAATAAATTTAACTTATTTTTTCTTATGTATGGATTTTCAAATATGTTTTTTATTTTTGTAGTTTTTTTAGTTGCTTATTTTTTATATAATCAAATTTTAAAAATAGAATTAACGTGTTTTATTTACTTATTCTTTATATAATTAGATTTTATCAAAATCAATTTTGTAATTTTTTTATTGCATTATATTAACTTCAATATATTTTTACAATTTATTTCTTTTTAAAATTCGATTTATGTTGCATGCTCTAATCTAATGAATACGATCATAATGTATGAAAAATATATATATATTAGAGTTATTGATTTTATTATAAATTAACGATGTATAATACATCTACACTCATAACACCAACCATTTGCTATTATTTTTTTATATTTTATTTTTAAAATAAAATAATTGAAATAATTTTTTAAAAGAACAGTCTTAACAATTCAAATATAATATTTTATATTAATATTATTCATTATGTTGTAAATAAATATATATAAATAAAATGTATATTCTCAAAAAGAAAAAAAATTCTTCTTAGCGAGTATGAAACAAGAATAAAAAAGATTTATTTGTTAATTTTTATACGGATTTTATATTAATTGTTACTTTATTTATTCGATATAATGTTATAAAAAATATTGAAATATTTTTTTTAATTTTATATATAAATTATTACGAGTTTTTAGTTAAGAATAAACACATAAAAAAGAACAAATTGTGTTTTTTAACTACAAAATAAAAAAAATAGATGCAAAATTTTGATTAAAAATTATAAAATTAGATGAAATTTTATTTTTAATTAAATATATTTTTATTGATCGACATTATAATACATGTTATCAAACTAAATAAATATATTTAGTTTATCCGCAACATAGCGTGGCAAAACAACTAATTGATTGCTAAAGCAGCCTATTATTTTTGGTCACTGTAAAAAGAACTCGTAAACTACTAATTTAGCTAGATTCAATCCTAATGAGCATGTTTTTATTTGAGTGCCCCCACTCTCCCTGGGATGCAGTCCTTGCTGATATACCCTCATTGATTTTTTAATGAAAATCATATTTTATCAATAATAATAATAATAATATAATTAATGAGCCATTTAAACAAATTTATTATTTTACCCTTCAATTTAAAGTATTTAATTTGGCAACAAGATATTGATCTTTTTTTTTAATATATATATATTACTTTGTTTAGTACAAAAATATTAGAATGAATCCTAAAATAAACTTAACTTTTTAAAATTATAATTACCAATAAATTACTTAACATATTATATTAATTATTTTGGTACTAGATTAGAGTCATCAAGATACATACTAACTATCCAAATTCATATCCTAACAAATAAAAATATACTAATTACCTAAAATATTTGCCTTATTATTACTAAAAATACCGATATGCAAGTCAACTTAATATAAAAGATTATCTCTCTCTCTCTCTCTCTCTCTTTTTTACAATAATAGGATCATACGTTCCTCTCATGACAAGTTTAAAGACATCCTCTCTACATCGGTCTGGTATATTTAAAAGAGCTTAATAAATATTTTTAAATACTAGCCCAATGTTCGAACCAAAAGAGTTTTTTAGTGCAAAAACTATCACTACATCAAGGTTTTTGACCTCTCAAACTCCCATCATTTCAAAAAAGAATTTAAAAAGAAATCACTCTCTACTTCCTAACTTTGTGGGCAATCCAATATTTTAAAACATGTGAGATTTCTTTAAAAAAAAAAAAAGATTATTAGAACAAATGTCTCTATACCGACGCGTCTTAGTGGATGATTAAGAAAACTAAAAGAGTATATATATCTATATATATACACACACACAGAAAATGAAAGAACTCTTCCAGAGAAAAATCCAAGCAAAAAGTTTAATCGGCAGGTAGCGCATGTCTCGAAAGGAATTGAGCAAATAAGAATCTGGCCAGTTATCCGCACAACAGTGGAGCTGAAAGAGAACGAACCACCCTACCCAGCCCATATTTTGCCAGAGGCGTCCATCGATCCCTTGGAAAATGTGAGCCTAATTCGGGGTTTTTCAACTGTAATTTTCCCTTCCCAGAAAGAGAAACTACTATCCTAAGCGGAAGAGTAGTACTCCACAAGAATAACGAACCCAATGAATCATTACCCTTCATTGGTTATTCCTTCATTCTGGCTGACATTTTCCAGTGTTACTTCACTTCTTTTTATACTGGTTTGGATCTCAAAGCATCTTTGATGAGCAACCTTAAAACCTAAACCTCTATTTTTTCTCACAACCCAGGAAACGAGCCTTCGGCCTTGTAATGGCTAAATGTAGAGCTCGAATCCTCACAAATATGAGATTTCAAGTTTTACCAATGAAATATTAAATATAAAGGTTAATAGTCTATATCCTTATATAATATAATAATTAAAGTTTTCAATCAGTCTTTATATCCTAAAACAATCCTATTATGTCTATTTTATTTTAGATAATGTCTAATCTACCGTTGTGGTCAATATTTCCCGCCAAACTACTAAAAATTAACAAGGTGACTAACACACAGCACGTCTCTCGATAAAAATATCCTTCATGGGCAAACCAAATTACTCTATAAGTCCACTTTTGAAGGGTATTTTCATCCAAAAAAAAAAAAAAAGTCACATGGTCAATATCCAATGGTTTGATCAGAAAAATTAACCAAAAAAAATAAATTAAAAACTACTTCAAATAACATGAATATAATGAGGTTATTTTAAAATATAAAAATAAATACCATTATATAAGAATAGAAGAGACTATTAATCTTAAATATTAAAAAAGCTTCAAAGCCTCACCTCATAATCCCTTTTAAGAAAGGAAAACAGAAACCTTTTCAATAAACTTTAACACTTCCTATGATATTTTCACAGATTTAATTGCGCATCAATTATTTCACAAGGATGAAATACCAAACAATAACTTCGATTCTGATTCAGCACTTGCATCCATATGCCCTAATTACTGACTTCGTCTGTCCAAATCCACGTTGACTACCATGGTAACTAATCATTGTCATGGTTAACTGCCCCAAAAACACCAAGGTACATAGTTTCTCAATCATAGGCAGCATTTAATTAGTAATTTCCATGCACCTAGATGGGCAATGACCTACAAATTTTTTTTATTGAAGATATAAGGTAGACATGAACAACTAGTGGCAACCAGTAGTTTGGTTCAGTGGACCATTACAAGTCCCTTCAACTGGAAGAGCAAGCATTCAAGTCACAAATAGTGAAACAATCCTCTTCCACCAGAATCTAGGATAGATAAACCGACAAACATATAAAAACGTTTTCAAAAGGAAAAATGGGTACCAAAATATGAGATTTTACTCATGCAGCTAATCCTTGTAGCAAAAAAATGAAATAAAGACGACGGGCTCACACTTTACCCTACTTCGCTTGAGGGTGTGAAGATATGAAGTCAATGGCAAGATTGATGGTATTGATCTTGTCTGCTTCACTATCTGGGATCTCAAACTGAAACTCTTCTTCAAGGGCCATCACAATCTCAACAGTGTCTAAACTATCTAACCCAAGATCATTTTGGAAATGGGCATTTGGCGTAACCTGCAAAAGTGAAAAAATATCAACCAAAATCAGATAGGTGTAGAGGATAGAGTTATGAATCTACACGTACCTTCCTTTTGTTTTAGATGTGAGAAGACAGGCATTGAAAGTAAGTATCCAATGAGAAATTACAAGTGCATAAGAAGCAGAGAATCTTTAGGAAGAAATGTGGAAATACATCAAATACTATATGCGAAGAATAGCATCACATTTTTTATCCAAATCTCAATGTTGTACTACACTGTAAGGAAAAAGGTAAAATAATTGCTAAAAATGAATGAAAACTCTTCAGCAAACTAAACACAATCCCATGCCAAGAACTCATCTATCCTAGGCAACAAACTACACTAACCTAATGCACCAGTGGAAATGGGGTGAACTAACTGGGGATAGGAAATCCAAACAGCAATCCCATGTTCGTGCAGAAAAATATGTGGATAATATCTCCATGATAACTCAAACTACTAAATTAGACATGCAACCTCCATGAACTACCACAAACTAATTAAGTACATTCTACGGCAGCATCAAACATTATATTAAGATTCATCACATCCATTCAAAAAACAAAGTTTCATTTGTAGTGAATGAACATGAGGTATTGCAATGCCATCGAAAGTTTTAACACAGCAAAATCTTCGCTAGCAATGATGATATAGAAAACAATGCAGTCTAAATCTCAGACCACAAATCACTTGGTGTAAGAATTCAATGTATATGCTGGAACCCATTGACAAATCAGGAATTTTCAAGTTACCAACACTTAGATTCTAAATACATCGTTACGACTGAGGATGAGTGCTTATGACCAACTACGCTAACAATCATATAGCAGACTCCTACTAGCGATTTTGAAAAATGGAAAAGAGAGTAAGGATAGATCACATCATGGTGCAAAAATCAAAATTAAAGCTAGGAACCAGTGGCAAGTAGTGATCCAACTCTGTACTCTATTTTGGGCTAATATTCTTTATCTTCTTCTATGTTCAGATCAATTTTCTTCTTGACAACAGATTGGGTCAAAAACACCATAACGGGACTTATTATCACATAATTTTGAAGATTAAAGATCAGAAGACCCTACCACCTCAATGTTCAAAGAGCAGGCCAAAATTCCTATCCAACGAACCAAACCCAAACATTCATTTAATCTAGAGTACCAAAATTCAGTACAAGGAAGCATTGATTGCCTTGATCAACTCAATGATTACAAATGAATTATAGAATAAATATTTACAGAAAACTAAGCTATACCTTTGTTTTCAGCAATCAAGATGTACTAATTTTCTAACACCACTTTAATTAAGCTTATAATTTCTCCATGCAGCTTTTACTCTCCCAAAGCAAGTCCAGCTATAATTAAATTTGTTTGATTTCATAATAAAACAGAACTCTATTGCACATTCACATCACATTGTCAGATGAACCATAAAATCAAAACTTTCAGAAGCCTGATAAGAAACAGTATAAGAATTCAAAATGCGAAAAAAAGCCTATTGACCCAAGACTTTACAAAACACAGGCCATCAAAAATGAGCATAACAAATTGGATTAAGGACTTAAATATCACAAAATTATACCCATTTAGCTTCTTCTTCATCATCATCATTCTTTCATTCAAATTGAAAGCATAACAGTAGCCATTTCACATACAACTTTGCAAGAACAATCTAAAATTGACCCAAAAAAGCTAAAACCCTAAACCCATAAGAATAAAAATGAAGCTTTCAATTTGTTGACCAACACATCTATAATTTGGAGGTTTATTTTAATCAAGGACATAAAAAATTTAAATACCTAGAAACAATCAGTTTAGAAAAAAGTAGTGAGAAACAAGTCTGATAAATAAATTAATTACCTTGGAAGGATCAACTTTCTGGAAGTTCTTGACAACATTGACGACTCGATCGGTGACCTCAGACCTGTCAAGGAAGGTGCCTCTAACTTCCTCGGAGAAACGGCGGCATATGGCATTGAAGGAGAGATCGAAGAGGCCGTTTTTGTTAGGGTTTCTAGTAGTGGGTATGGCCTGTACGTTCACTCTTAGGTACTTTAGCAAAGCTCCTCCTCTCGCCGCCATTTGCAATTCCTTACTTTTTGTCTGTTCTATTCGCAACAAACTTCTCCACTTCTCTCTCTCTCTCTCACACACTTAGCCTCTCTATTCAAATGGGCGACTGCGAAATGAGATGCACGCAGGTGATAAATATTTCCATCGGTTGCTTTCTTACGGTGTCGTATTTGAGGGATTATCTATTTATATTCTGTTCTCTACAATTTCCCCTTTTTTTTTTTTTTCCTTTCTTTTAAATAATTTCCATTCGTCATCGGGAAATTTGGACCCCATTTTGTACCATTTCTTGTAATTGCTTATAATTTTTTTGAAAATTTTTTATATTTTTAACAAAGGTATTCGAAGTATATATATATATATATAATTAATTTAATTTTAAAGATATAAAATATATGATTAAATAAAATATAAAAACTAGTAATGTTTCGTAATTAATTATGATTGCTTATAGTTTTTTGAAAAATGTTTTTTTTTAACAAAGGCATGCGAAGTAAAAAAAAAATTAATTTAATTTTAAAGATATGAAATATATTATTAAATAAAATATAAAAACTACTAATGTTTAGGAATGGCAATGAGGCGGGACGGGGCGGCGATGCCCTAGAAAATGTCGTCCCATCCTCGCATCGTGCTTCGTTTGGGATGATATTTCGCATATCATCCCCGTCTCAAACAAGGCGACCCCGTCGGATTGTCATTCCTAAAAGCAAAAGAACGGGACGAGGATGGGAATGGCTCATAAAATGTCATCCCATCCTCACCCCGTGCCCTATTTAGGGTGATATTGCTCGTACCATTCCTACCCCAAACAGAGGGAGGCGGGACGGGTCAAATTGTCATCCCTAGTAATGTTTCATGATTAATTATGATGATGGTAACACCCATGACATGGTAATTATTGATAGAATATTAATAATATGATAATCGACATCGATATCGATATCGAAACATACGTTAAAAAAAAAGTACAATGAGCTTAACGTTATTTTGACTAAAGAGCTTGTAATCCGGTGGTTGTGATTTTTTATAACAAAAGATTACGAATTCAAATCTTAATAAATTAGTTCTGCTAGGAGCCTCGAATATGTGAATTAAAAAAACAAAACTTAATGTTATTATGGGTGACATGACACGTGTGCTATAATGGTTAGACATGCAGTGAGTTTGAATGCTCTTAGGAGTTGACATAGTCATAATGATTACACATTCTTTAAGAGTCATGCTATCTATCAATACAAGTGTCATTTTATTTATTTATTTGTGTGTATATCTATCAATTCAAGTGTCATTTTTTAATTTGTATATATATTATGACATGCTATCACTCTATGACGAATAAATTATAAATTAATTTCTTTAATTTTGAAAAGCAAATTCAATATTATATTTTTCAAAAACTAATTACTTAGTCATTTTTTATTATTTTATTTATTTTGTTTTTTGTTTTTAATATATATATATATATATATATATATCATGGAAAGATTGATGAAGAACAAAGACATTTTGTATAATAAAATAATTTTCAATCAAAATGAATAATTAATTAAAATAATAATAATAATAATAATAAAATATAATATAAAATAGCCCTCACTATCAAGCCTTGTAGATAAAAGATCTAAAATTGTTTATCGAAGTCAATCTCCTTCTATACCATGGACGATGAGTTTCTACTATATCACTAATACATGTGCCATCTTGATTACATAAATAATTCATATCAATAATACAAGTGTTATTGAATCTTTTGTCCACTAAAACAACTTCGTTATCTTTTATTAGTTTTACCATAAAATTGAATATTACTAACCACGTTGCATTTCAAACCATTAATGAGTAAAACATATTTAATAGTAGAAGAGTTACTAACATTACTTATACCAAGTACTTTACCTTTACCATTACCATGAAATGTGACATGTCAACTTTATTGAGAAAAGGAAGTGAACTTAGATTTGTCTACGATCACATACATTGATGATGCACTATCTAAGCACCATGTACTTACGAGTGGCGGACGTAGGATCAAATGCTCATAGGGCTAAAATAAATTTTTATAAATCTATCATGCTTTACACAAACTTATATATATTATAAATAATATACTAACATGTATTTTAAAATAGTCTCAACATATAATTATTCAAAATAGAGATCTTCGTTCTTTCAAATCACAAAAATCATCTATAAACGAATTCACATTAAAACTTTCAACAATTTTTTTTTCAATATTCACTAACAAATAGTCGAAAGAAAATCATCTTCCATCTTGTTACGAAGTTTCGTCTTTACTATGCTCATAACTAAAAATGACCGCTCCGTGGTAACTGTAGAAACTAGAAGAGTAAGAATAAGTGTTATCACTTTATACACATGTGACTTTTTTATCTACAATAAAAATAAATTATAAATATAAATATGCAATAATTTCTAAAGTACAATATGCAACAAATTACAAATTCATTTAAAATGCAAATAAAATATTCAAATTTTTAAACAAAATACATAAATAGACCATCACCCGAGTTCTACTAGGAGCCACCCTCTAACCTCACCTGGTATATGTACCTAAAAATACTAAGGATTATAGTAGTATCGACCGCTCCACTAATAAGTTGAATATATTTCAAACTAGTCACTTTAGTAATATAGAATCTATAAAATATATATATAAAAAATCATTATTATAAAAAAAATAAACAATTGAGAATCTAGTTTATTAATTTAAATATGGTTGTGCCTAAAATAATTAAATAATTTTTTTAATAACCATTAATGAAAGAAGAATGGGTAGGAAGACAACTAATCTAATATTTTAATTATTTAAAAAAGAAAATTGGGAGTTATCAAGATTCAATCAATATATAAAATAAAAACTTAATAAATTAATAATATAAATAATATAATAAGAGTTAATAAATTACTAAGTTTTTAAGAAAATACATGTTGTGTTGTCGAATAAGAAAAATCCAGATCAAAGAGATGATTTTTTTTTTAGTGTTTTGAATAGAGTAAAAAGGAACGAATTTAGTAATGGTAGAAGACAAGCTGGGATCAAATTAAATAACTATTAAAGGTTTAATTGTGCCTTATGGAGAAACCAAGGACAAAGGTTAAAAAACATTAAAGAGGGCTGGGTTTGTCTTACTCTAATGTAGGGAAAAAAACAAATGAAGCCATGTATGTTTTGTCTCAAGTGGCGACTGCTTGTTTTTGCGTCCTTTTATTTTGAAGTGTAAACGTGTAATATTATTATATTAGTGTAGGGTAAAGTAGGGATAGGAAGTAGTAATTGTGCATTAAAACAAAAGTTGGAGTCTTGGGTTTGTTACTCGGTTACTCTAGTAAAAAAAAAAGTTTAAGGGGCACGTAAGTTACTCTAGTATAGTTGTGGGGAGCGGGGGGCTAGGGTCCCTATACATATATACGTGCGTCCACCCCCGCTTACTTATTGTTGTGAGTTCTTTTGCATCGGTTTTAACTTAAAAAAAAACACTTTATAATAAAAAGAAGTGAAAGATGATTGAAATGTGTTCTGCAAAATAGTTAATCTCATAATTTAATCGATAGATGAACAAAACAAGCTTATAAATGTAAACTATAACTACCGTTTGTGATGTTTTTGGATTAAAAAAAATTAAAATCAAATCAATTAAATAGGCTGCAATAGCCTTGGAAACTCTCGCGAGGAAATCTTGACCTCTCAAGCTAGTTAGGCTACAATATTAGAGGATAAATAATTTGAAATAAAATACAAATTAAGATATATGTCAAGCTCTCTAATATGCAATCTTAATTTAATATGCAATCTAAATAACAATACTAAACTACCGAACCAAGAATTTAAGTAATTAAATACTAAGATTAAAGACTTACAATATGAATAAAAACTTGAAGAAACTAAAAGTCTTTATAGAATAGAAAAAGTATTGCAGTTTTTACAATGCTTGAATTAAATAAACTTATAATAAAAAGAAATTGCAAGTATTCACGGATCGACATTCTAGACATAACACATGATGAATGAACTGTGGAGAATGGTGGATGTGAACACGAGCGAGAGGATGAAGAACCAATTACCAACCTACGAGCTATTGATGCCGATTAAGATGCCAAGCCCTTCGAAATACTCAACAATTCAAGCAACACTCAAACGAGTCCTAGGTCGTGACAATCGGTGTAATATCCTAGACCTAAAAACCTCCTTAAGTACAAATTTCTTGCATGAATAATTAATTAATTAATTAATATATGAATATTTATTTAGGAAAAAATTAATATTAAATGTTTGCATAGAAAACAAATTAATGCATACATAAATATTATGAGATATGAATAGATTATTTAATGTTTGAATCACTAAGTTATAATATTATTTGTTATGGTTGTAATAACCTAGAGTTCGTAATTACAAGACTTTATAGGGATTTAATTGCTATAATTAAAAAATTAAGTACTTGATTAAAATAATTAAAAAATTCAAGTGTCCACTATAAATTAAGAAATAACCTAGATAAGGGTTGGATTATGGGAAAATTGAAAGTTTAGGGACTGAAATTTAAGGATTTGATTGAAATGATTAAAGAAGTTTAGGGACCAAAATATGAGATTTTAGAAAATTAAAAGACCACTTAATTCAATTGGAAATTAATTCTTTCTAACCAAATATAAACTGAAATAAAGAGAAAGAGAGAGGGAGTTTAGGTGCACGAGAGAAGAAGAAGAAGAAATGAGAGAAAATATCAAGGAAAAATCAAGGAGAAATGGAGAGAATTCTAATAGAGGACAATTAATGAAGGCGAGTTGTGGTGGAACCAAGTGTTTCACACTTGGTAAAATCACCCGAGAAAATCCTTTCTATAAATTCATCTAAGAAAAGGAAGGAGGAAAAGGATGAGCAACCAAGAATTCAAGTTAGAATAAAGGAAATTCAAGTCATTTCGAGTGAAATTAAACCTATCCATCACACAAAACCACTAAAACTACCTTAGATACAACTTAAAACACCTTAAAATCACATGAAGAAGAAGAACAAAGAAGGAGGAAAAAGGTAAGTTTTGGCTGAAACTTTGAAGAAGAAAGAAGCAAAGGAAACTTCAAGCAACCAAGAAGACATTTGATCAAGCATCAAGTGAGATAAGTATAATCCTCATTGCATCATAAGAAAATGACAAATTGATGCTTGATTGTTCATGTTTTGAACTTTTAAAAATTATGAATTAGTTGTTCAAATTGTTAAGTTTTGGTGTAAATGAATTGTGATTGGAAACATGTTTATGGTGGTTGAAAGCTCATATTTAATGGTTTAATTGAAGTTGGGTTGATGAATTAAGGTTGGGTAATTGGTGAGGAAGTTTCGACCAAGTGTAGAAATTTATTGAAAATAGTTGATTTTCATGATTTTAGGTTAATTAGATGTTCTTAGAATGATTTAAAGTGTTTGATTGATAACTTTGGGTTGATTACCTTAATTGATGAGTTTTACCTTAATCATAAAGTTAGGATTGATTGGTTAAATTGGGTTAATTATGTTTTTATGCTTGATTTAAGTTTGTGCATGTTTGGGTGATTGATTATTGGTTGAGATGATGGTTAACTATTGGATAGGTAATGTCAATTGATGTTTGATTATAATGGGTCATGTGTTGAATCAATGGATAAAGGATGAAATTAGGTTAAAACAAAATTTAGGAACCTTTAAATTGTTGAATTAATGAAGTATTGATTGTTGTTGTGCTTGAGACAAATCTGGATTTTGAAGAAAGAAATGTCAAATCTAAAATTGTTAGTAAATTGATAAGATTTTCATGTGTTTAATGATAATCATGTTAATGTTAGTAAAGTGTTGTTGTCTTTATAAGATTTTATCGACCACTCATAAGTAAAAAGATGGGTCATTCATCGACAAGTGATCCCATACAATAATGATAAGTTTTTTGTTTTTGTAAATATATATATATATATATATATATATATATATATATATATATATATATATATATATATATATATATATATATATATATTATAATTATTTCAATGACGTATAATCATATGTAGTTAATGTAAGAAATAATTACTAACGAGCAGCAAAAAGGTGATTCATCCTCTTCAAATATTGATATAATCAAGATATATTTGGATATTGTAGAAAATAGAAAAAGTAGAGAGTGTACGGCTTCGGATCATAGACGTCCTAGTATTACTCTCAATTTGGCTTCGACTCCTCATATGCCACTTCGTAGTATACTTTTGGTAATATTCAAGAGGTTTCTACCTAGTATAAAAATAAGATCAAGGGCATGGAGGTTACCATTCGGGAAAAGACGAGTAAATTCAACACTCTATAAAGTCGGATGGAGATAGTGATGAGGTTGTTATGGGACCTACGGTAGGCTCGCGTCCCTCCTGCCGACCCCCTCACAATACCGAACAGTTAAGAGATGATAATGAGGAAGACTAAATTTTTTTTTTTTAGGTTTTTAATATTTCCGTACACCTTAACGTATTTATATATTTATTTGATTTCAAATTATATTATTTTAATTTTATTAAATAATATTCATGTTTTAATAAGGTGTTATTTTTAGTTGTTTGTTACTGCCATTAACATTAAACGCCCATATACATATATATATATAATTCCTTCATTTAGTGACCGAATTAGCGATAAAAATTAAACTTCTTTGCGTCGGACACATATGCGATCGCTAAATAGCTATGGATTTGAGAGAAATTTTAACGAGCACGATTTAGTAACAGACATTCCTATCACTAGATAGTGACGAAAATAATCCAAAAGCAACGGTTTTGCAACAAATACTAAATTGGAGAGATGACTATTTACTCAATTTAGCAATCAAAATTCTACACATTAGTAATGGTTAAGGAAAAAATTTTCGTCGTTAAGAAAATAGCAACAAACATTTTATCTTCTAAAAGTATGTGGTCACAAATTTATCGCTAAGACTAAATAGCGACGGATATTAATGATGTAGCGATGAAAAAATTCATCGCTATTGAAAGTATATTTTTTTACTTTTTTATAGTGTTCATCAAGAGATCTTGTGAGTTACAAAACGTAGAATTTGTCAAAAGATGAAATAGGGTGAGTTAGGATTGAGGGGTAGTGTTGAACGTGCAACACTGTCTCAATATCAAAGTCCCAGTTGTTGACAAACAAGTGTGTGCATGTATGTCTTTTAATGATTTCACACGACTGCCACACAAAGGGAGCTATACATTCTGATTAAGAGGAGAGGTACGCTGTTTGATTTTCTTGGGTTCATGTATGCATTTAATTAGTTCGTACATTAGTCACAATTAACTTGTATTTAGTCTAGTGTTTATATTAATTTGGTACGTATTTTAAGATTTATTAGTGTAGAAGTACAAGAGTTGTAAATGTACCAAGAGTCCTATAAATAACTACGTGAGTGTTTGAGTGAGCAATGTGTAGTGAGCTGTGGATAGAAATAAGTTACTGTATAATGTGTGAATGAGACTTAGACAGAGATCCTATAAATCACTAAACAAAAAGTAGAATATAGTGAGTGAGAGCTTGTAACGAGAGAGTGTTGTGAACAAATAGTGAGTATTGTGAGGTAGTTTATTATACTACTACTTTGTAGTAGTTAATTGTAAAATAAATTGTTATTTTAGTCCTTGAATTGTGTCACTCCGAACTCAACAAATGGCATCAGAGTTGTACTAAACTCAACAGGGCATGCTAGAACTATCTTTATTTCTAACAAAAGAAGATTGATGAACTTGGTGTCCATAAAATTGCAATTCAATTCTGTTTCTTTATCATGCCAATAACATGGAGAATATCGCTAGTGTTCAGTCTCGCAACCAAGAGACATTCCATTGGGTTCCACCTAATGTTGATGTGATTAAGATTAATGTTGATCTTGCAATAAGCTCTAATAGTAGAGGGTTCGGTGTCATTGTTAGAAATCATTTTGACCAAGAATTATTTTCAGCTCACAAGCGTCTGGAGGTACAGTATCCTGTTGCCGTTGGTGTATCTTCTACTGTTTGCTATGGTGTCCAGCTTATTAAAAAATTGAGCCTCTGTAAACGTTTGTCTAGAATCGGATTATGCTAACCTTATTCAATAATTTAGCATTGCTGAAGAAGATGACTTCTATTTATCTTCTCTTGTTCTCCAGTCAGTTCCAATTTTTTTTTCTTTCAACTTTGTCAAATACTTGAATAATAGGAATGTGCATAAATTATATAATTTACCAAGGTTTAATGCTAAGGAGCAAGTCTTGATGGAGGATTTTTTTTTTTTTTTCATTTGTCTAAGAAATGTAATATTTTCTCATTTTCTCATGTATCCTCTTGATTCTTAATAAAAGCATACTTTATTTAATAAATAAAAAAAGGGACAAATCATGTTTCCCATAGGACATAACCTGTACCGATGGATTGTAGGTTTGAAATTTAAAAATTATTCAATTTTTACAAAATTGATGTGACAGATAGTTTGGGTTCTTTCGTGTATTGAAGAACTTATTTGGTTTAATCTTTCTATAATTTATTGGACCACAAATTAAAATTTTGATATAACACATACAAAAATGATTTATCTTTTTAGTAATTACTTATGAATTTAGTTGTATCATTTCATTAAAAAAAAAAAATTATCACTGGACATTTAAAATATAAATTACTAAAATTTAGAGGAAACGACATATTTCTAATACATATAAAGATACCTATTTTACAATTATGAACAATAAAGTAATTGGTATTTATTATATTACAATATTTTTTTTTTTTTTTTTTTTGCGTTGGAAGATTTTTGTATTAATTTAATTATAGTTCAACGATAGATGAGATGAAAATTAGCGTAGCTCTGCGCAGGAATTAACAAACAACAAATTGAAAATACATGCACGCAGCAACCTCAATTTTCTTTTCTTTTCTTTTTTGGTTTGACAGAATTAACCTCAATTTTCTTTTATTTTTAGTATTAATGTCAACTTCTATTCATTTTGAGAAATAATCTGAAATCCCGGCTAAGGTCTAAACAACCTTTTGGGTTTCCATCTACGTGTTCATTTGAAGAAGTCTTTTATAGCACTCTCTGCAACGCAGACAAAAAGGTTCAAAAATAAATTTCAATTCAGCTTTTTTATGATCACTAGCTAGGGCTAAAGGATACCACTAGCTAGAGGCAGCATTGACGATTGCCTAACCCTAGCCTAATCCATACATCTAGCAGTAACCAAACTTACAAACCCCATATATGCCAACGTAACTAAATATTAAACAAGAAACTGAAACTGAACCATGTACAGCAGCAACCAAACTAGCTATAGATATGGAAGCCGTCATTGAAGGCCACAAAATGACAAAAGCATACATAATCTTGTCAAATCCTGCTTGCCATATCTAATAGCCCGTACGTATAGCTAGATTTGGTTACCAATACGTCTACCTATCGTCTTCTGCTCCACCCTTCTCCTTGAACCATCCCTGGCTGGGCTGAAGCATACTGGTAAATACTCATCAGAGTCGCATTGAAAAGTTGAATTCCCAAGATGCCTGACTAGCTGTTCCTTGCCCTGAGATGATCATATTTTCAAATCAAACCTCAAAATAGTTTATACGAGAGAAAGGAGTTTTAAAAGTGCTTGTCATTTAAGGAAAAAAAAAATGCACATGATTACCGTACCTGGAGCCTAGCACAGGTTATTTCACGTATCTTGAGGGACTGGAAAACGTCCCATGCTTGATAGTTGGTGGAAAGGTAAAACTTCCACGCAGCTCTTGCATCTGTGAAGTTGACAAATGCATAGCCTTTGTTGGCCCCTCCTCTGCACCCGAACGTCAATTAAAACTGTTGTTTTAGTTCGTGTAGAGCCAATAATTTTGGCTTTAGTGAATAAATATGGATAAGTAGTCTCTATTAAACCCAGCAATAAATGATTTAGATGGACAAAAGCAAGTGAGAGTTCAAGATCAAATGCGTAAATGAAACGTACCTAAAGTCAATAGGCAGATACAGGAAATCGAAAGCTGACACAAGTGTCTCCTTGGTAGAGTCAGAATTTTGAAGCTTTGCTTTTTCATTCTCCATCATGCAATGGCTGTCAAGGAATTCCATCAACATTTCACGGCTGCAAGGAAGCCAGTGAAACAAGTGGAAGTGTTAGGAGCAATATTGGAGAGATTATGAGAAAGTAGAAAAAACAAGATTAATTTTGAACCGGATTACTACTGATACAATACTTCATGCTTGAACAAAAACTAACTGTGTGTAGCTAACGAAGAACCTCACAACACACAGACAAAAGGAGAAAAAGAGAACCAATTACGTGTATTTATTGGGGATGTTCCTGATCATAACTGTGGTATCTTGGCCATGAGGGAGCACAGGATGCTTCTGCCCAGAATTTCTATTACTTCCATTAGACCTGGCTCTGAAATATTCCTTCTTGGCTTGTTTCTTTTCATGCCCTCTATATCTTCCTTCGCTCCCTTTAAACGAACCATTTAAATATCTGCTACACTCTCCTCTCTTTTTACTTCCTGTGCTAACCCTTGCAGTCAACACCTGTTGCATGTCCAATTTGGGCTCATCTTGGGTTTGCACCATTTGCGTCTGCGCAGAGACAGCCGAGATAGGGCTCGGCTTGGTCATTACTGTAGAGGCCAAGAGATCATGGTCGTGAGAATATGTAACACAGTACTGTGCATTGCTAGGATGTTGATAATCAATGTCAGTATAGTAGGGATAAGGATGAGATGGCCCTGAGGTATAGTAATAGCAGTAATACGAAGATGGGTTCTGATTTATTGCAGAAAGAAATGGAGAATTTGGGAGATATTGATGGCTATAGTTAACAAAATCATCATGTGAATTACGTGCAACCATATCGTTTTTAAGGTTGATCGTAAGGTAATTATGAGGAAAGAACTCAGGTGCTTCTGGGTTCAAGCTGGTACTGTTTTGATCAGTAGAAAACATGGAAGCCATTGGTAACACAAAATAAAGACTGGTTTTTTCACAGCAACCTTTGAAGAAAGGCGAGTTGCAAACACGCAAGAGAGCCGCTTGTGAGTGGACACTAGAGAGGTGGAAACGAAAGGAAATATCATGATTGCAAGGGTATGGAGCATTTAATGCACAGATATGATTGAAGAATAAACAAATATATATGTGCATGGACACTTCATCCGCCGAATGTTTTTGGCAGCGGCTTTATTTTGTACGCACTACAGTTTTCTGTCAGAATTTTGCTTGCTTAAACTGCTACAGAAGCCTGGAGGCTTGATTTCTCACCGCCGATTACTTTACTGGAGATTTGCAAGATTTTGTTCAAGGGCTAATAACCAGTTTTTTCACTTAATGATAATTACAGTTGTGGGCTTGTGGCTGTATTTCTAGCTGTGGGGTGATTGTGATGTTATAAATAGAAAAATATATATTTGATTAAAAAAGTAGAAATTTTCACTCTGACATGTAGTTTTATATATTCATTTTTTTATGTTTTAATTTTTTTATTTTTGTATTAAAATGCCTTGAAACCATTAAAGGAAAATTAATTTTGAAAAGCTTACAAAAGAGATGAAAGGCCTGAAAAAACCATTCGACAACAAATCAAAAATAAGTTAGCAAATCGATTAAAATAGGAAAGCCTATTTGTAAAATCAACAGTTTATTAATAAAGTAGAATAAATATAAATAATCAAATATAAGAATCAAATAGAATAGAAATAATAAGGGACGAGAGAAAAATCAAACAAACTAACATAACAAGACCAGATCAGGTAGCTTGGGACAGAATTCTGACTGACAAAAGATCAAAAAGTTTGCAAAAAAAATCTTCACACACGTGCTACGAGACTGGTATTTATAGCAGATGAAGGATGCTTTTGATAGTTAGGATTGTGCAATGTGATTCATATTTTGATGATTCAATTTGAGCTGGACAATAATAATAATAATTTTAAGTTAAACTATTTTAATTTATTAATAAAACCTAAAAGAAGCACATTGATTTTTTTTTTTTAAGGAATTTTACTTCAAGTTTACCAAATCAATTTTCTTTATAGATCTTAAAATTAATACATAGACATTAATCTTATCGTAACACATGTATCTACTTAAGCTTTCTGTGGGGTAAAGCCTATCATCAATCTAGTTCGTTTGATGTGCACTTAAGATCTATGTGAAAATCAAGAAAATTAATATTGATTGATATATAATAAAATTAAATAAATTATTCAATTAATTTTTTTTAAAAAAAAACAAATGGATCGTATACAAACCAACAAAACATTAAACATAAAAAAAACCTAGAATAAAATAAAACATTTAAAAAAATAGTACGAACTTGTCAAATCAGAAAAATAAAAAAATAATTTTTGTAAAGCCTCGTAAATAGAGATATATCAATGACAACCAAATAAGTTTTGCAGGACCTGGTTTTATATATATATATATATATAATCTTAATTTTTAAAGTTTTGTTAAGTTTTTGAACATTAATTTTCAATTTTTATATGCTTTGAAAATTAAGTTTTCTTTTGATCATCCTTTGTTCTCTTTATTCTTCGATTGTTTTGGTTAAATTTAATAATTTTTTTATATATATTTATCTCTGTTTATCTTTATTAGTAGGAGTTCTATATATATCATGTGTCATATATTACGATGAGTTTTGATCGTAACGTGCCAAGTATATGTAAAAAATAATAACGTTATAACACTACACCAAAAAAGGGCATTGCGGACGGTTTTTTACCTTGTAGAGGCGGTTATAACCGCCTCTACAGATTGTAGGGGCGGTTTTTTCAACCGCCCCAAAATCGCCTGCAATGCCGCTGTCTCTACGAGTGTAGAGGCGGTTTTGCCAACTAGCGGAGGAATTCGAGGCGGTTCAAACCGCCTTAAATATTTTTTTTTGAGGCGGTTGGAAGCAAATTTTATCATATTGGTTTATTTCAAAGGTAATTTTTGCGACGGTTCAAGACCGCCTCTACATTGCCAAATTTTTTAAAATTCGCAAGAAATAGTTAGGGCGGTTACAACCGCCTCAACGTTAAAATTTGTAGAGGCGGTTGCAACCGCCTCAAGATTAAAATTTTTAGGGGCGGTTCCAAATTATATAATTTATAGAATTTATTTCAGCATTCATAGAAACAAATTTTATAATTCATAAAGATGGTTGTTTAACTTTCGCCTTCAAATTTAATTATTGAATGTAAAAAAAATTAAAATTATATAGCTACCACAATATTCTTAAATTTATAATTATCAAATTCTAAATACATAATAAGTCGTCAAACATTCACAAGTAAAAAAAAAAACTAAATAAAAAGTCATCAAACATTCATAATATTCTTAAACATTTGTTCGAAATACATAAACAAAATTCTAAATATATTTGGAAATAAGTGGCTAATGTTTTATTTCGACGGATAACTCAATTGTGATGAACGATTAGGAGAAGACGCATTTTGACCATTACCATCATTGCGAACCTATCAAAAGCACAATTTGAAAGTAAAATATATATATAAACTCATTAAAAATATTTTAAGATAAAAAAATATTAAATATTTAAATAAAAATTTATGATACCTAAGTAGGATTCAACGAAGTAGGCATCAAATTCGATCAAGATATTTCTCTCGCAATGAAAGCGATAATGATAGTTAATGTCGCATTTATAAGCTTACTTGTCTTACTTGTGCTAAGAAATTTACCTTGAAGTAGTCACCTAAATTAACCAATTAAAAAATATGCTTCAATCAACTCATTTGTTCCACCGTAGAAAATACCGAAAAAAAATCAGTTTTATTAGTTAGAACAAAAAAATAAACTTATCCACTATATAATAAAAAAAGAAAGAAAGATGTTATTGTATTCACAACACAAGCTTTTAAAAGTTAATCTTCTCTAACGTTTCCATTATTCTCTAAACTGAATTCCAATCTACAAAAGAAAAAAAAACAAATAGAAATTATAAAAAACGAGCTAACTATAGAATACCGAAGGAAGAAACAAATATAAAACCAAGCATGTGATGGGAGGGGACAAATTCGATCAGCCTTTAACACTTTAATCTAGTTTGATCTAGTTTTTTTTTTTTTTTGCTTAGTTATGCACAAAACCGCACGTGATACCCGACCATTTCGATTCAATAAAAGAAATAACATCGAGTAGGCACGAAATGCCATTAGGTTTCCAAGCCCACTACATGATCATTTTTTTAATAATGTTACAAAGAAGCCGATAGCAGCATTCACAAGTAAAATCACTTGATACTTGTGCAACAAAATGAATGTTTTCATATGTTGCTTGGGGTAGGACATCATCTTGTGAAATTGATTGATTACCCACCCCGACTCTTCGTGTGTGTTTCTTTGTCTTTTGAGGGAGGGTGGGGGCATGCATCTGTGTGTGTGGTATACTTGTTTCACGTGTATACTTGAGTATGTTATAAAATTTTCCTTGAAATGAGGCTAGAGATCTAGATATCGGTTTGTAAATGTATGTAACTTCTTGTTTTTATGCGAGCCCAAGGTAACCATAGCCACGGTAATAATATTCTATCACAGATTATTCATCACCAATCACATGCGAATAATGACGAAGGAAATCTTCAATGACATTTCTTTAATCTTTAAATCGTGCAATTAATCTAAGTATAATGCCAACAATAGAGTTTTTCCTAAAGGAAAGGGAAGGATTTAAATGTACCGACAAGTTCAACAACGAGCCATTCCTCCATGTCGGTGATTCGGTTCATGCCGCCCTTTTTAAACCAAAGAAACATAGTAATCTTGACCGGATCGTTGAATTTGAATAAGCCAAACTGGACTTCACATATACATTGAACATTTTGCTCACAATAGTATGCAAAAATGGTGTAAATTCTTTCAAAGCATTACATTATTACACAAGAAGATAGTATTGCTTGACGAAGAAACTTAAAAGTTTCCATGATTATAAGTCGTACATCGAAGCGACTAAACAAATTAATCAATATTTAGTAGAGTTTTTCCTTTTCTTTTCGCTGATTATTTAGTAACTAAACAAATTAATCGACCCCCGAAGAGGTCCAAACCACTTGGAATGAAATGAAGATTGGCAAGACAAGCAACATTAAAAGCACCATCACAAAAATGGCAATACCCCAAGGAAAGGAGCTTGTGGAACGTGGAGCTAAAACATGTTGTGAACTTCGAGCCGATAGTGGAGCAACCAATTAGTGGAGTATGAAGCCATGAATAAAATCGGGAGGATAGGCAACAAAAACGGGAAAATTTGGAGGTTGATTGCAGAGTGGTGCAACCGGGCCTTATAGCTTGTGTACTCGGGACAGCCATAATAGGGAAATGACGATGCCAAAAATGGCTAGCAATGGGAGTGGTGGAGCGAGAGATTGAGGCCACGGTCTAGCCTCGTCCACCCTTGTTTCCACTCGGGACCCCTTTTCTTAGGATAGAACCACTCCATCTCTTTTTTCCTCTCCTTTCTCTCAATTCAAGCAATTCAATGGTGAATTTTTTTATGCAAGGGAGTGATGCCCCGATGGGCTTTTCTTGCTTTAATATTAAATTTGGTTATGGAATATGTGCTTTGAGTGTAGGATCCTTAATGAACTTCTTCTTTGGCTAATGCACACTTAAGTGTCGATACCAAAGTTATTTTATGCTTACAAAAAGAGGTTTTGAACCACTCGAAAGAGGAAAACATGAATGCTATTTATCTAGACAAAAACTCAAATAAAGAATGGTAACCGAAAACAAAAATACGATCGATTTTTATTTTTTATGTTTCTCTTTGGAACTAAGTAATTCATGAATTTAAAGAAACAACTAAATCTAGAGATAACTAGAAGACAAGATTTTTTTTTCGAATTAAGAATTTAAAGAATTTTTTAGTTGAACGGATAAAAACAAGACAAAACTATTAAGCTTGGGAAATATCAATTATGTCGTCTCACATAAATGAGATTACTTTTT